TAAATATATTATTTTAGTCATTTACTTTGTCTTATAGATAGATATTTATATTGTATAGTTATATATTATATAACTAAACAAATCCGCTTCGAAAGGACGTATATTCTAATGTTATTAAATCTTTGATAACAAATTTACATCACATTTAAATAAAGCACTTTAACGGTTTAAACGCGATGTATTAGTTCACTTATTTGAAAATATTTTCGAAGTGGGCCGAAGTTAAAAATCATTTTCAAATAAGTTTAACTAATATATCGCGTTTTAAACCGTTAAAGTGTTTTATTTAAATGTGTACAACTCGCGTAATCTATAGACAGTATTTAAATTTACATCTAGTTTTTATAAAATAAATAATAATATCCTATGCTCCGTTTTTATATAAACACACAAATATCAATACTATCTATAATAATAAAAATAAATAACGATTCATTACACCACATTAATTTTCATTTGGGAAGTTATATTTTCCCGAAGTTACTTGACACTGTGCGCGTCCTGTCCAATTACGATCTTTAATAATTTTAACGTTTTATTAGTTTTAATAAAGAAGTGATGCCATGAACTTGTTACATACGAAATGTGGCAATAAATTGTTTTGAATTATGTCTCTTGTAGTTTTAACATACACTACGTGTATGTGTGTGAAATGAAAAGTGTCTATAAAACATGTATTAAACGATAAATAAGAGCAAACACTACGCATTAAAAATATTAATATGTTATCTTAGTTTCAACGTTACGACTGAAATTTAAATAGGTACAAAGATGTCCCGTTTCTCCCGTGGAGGCAGGGAACGAACACACTTTTGAATCCATAACATTGATCTATTTTGATCAAAGGGAGTACTTAATCAGATTTCTGTGCTTTATTTTGCTTTTGGGATTAAAACCCTGGATCTCTCATGCTTAATGCGATGCTTGGCAAATATAATTGAAAACTTTATTATTTTTCACATGTTATTGCACATGTTAAGGCACTATCTAATTTAAAAATCGAAAATAAATTGCGACTCGGGCAGGACTTGAACCGGCATCGCCAGCGTTCCATGCTGTTGCTCTACCAATTGAGCTACCGAGTCAAGTCTTCTACGTCGAGTGGAAAGATTTCTACGTATTTTAAAACAAATCTTTCCATATTTAAAAACTGCTATGAGTTTATTTTTTTGTTTCAAAAAGGTTTCGTTTTTTAATAGATTTTTTGTCGGTAAATAAAAAAAAAACGGACATAGATTTTTTTTGGGAATGGGGCACTGCATTTCGATTTTTTTTGTTATACATTGTAGAGTTATAATGAGACAAAAAGCAATCGTTTTCCATGTCACTCTGAATAATAAATCCGCAAGTCTCTTTTCAAGACGTCTGTCAAAATGCGCCAACAACAAAAGAACGCCAAGGTGATACATACTTAACGCATCATCTTTAATTTCGCAAACGTAGAGTTTAAAATAATACATCTGCATTACTTTATCGCTCATTGTGGCGTCGTCAAAAGTGAAGCGAAGTATGGCAAGATCAGAGAAATGAGTGGAACGGTAGCGCGGACACAGGGCGTATAACTCACATCATTTGTCACTTTTAATTGCCACTTGTTGGTTGTCGAAAGTGTCTGAAGAAAGCTATATATTTTAGTTTATTGTGAAATAAACGTTGCGTCTCTCAAGTTGCGGGGCTCGGAGGCACGAAATTGAGACATTACGCGTTGTTTGAACGTTATTTTGTTCAAAGGACTTATTTATACGTCGTCACCGATAACTACTTTGATGTGGGCTTGTTCGGGATTGTAAGCGGCAATAAAAAACTGATGGCATCCGTTTTTTCAGGCGCCATTATTAATGTCGAATTTGTCGCTTGTGTCACTTCAAGCGAATCATAAATCATAGAGGATCATATTATAAGGAGGTGGAAATAAAAAAGTTTGAATGCCAAATGCCATAATAAAATTAAACGCCGAAATAACTTAATTCTAATGAAACTGAGGGTGAATGCGAATGTAATGAGGAGCGGTAAAATAATAATAGCCGCGTTTATAACGCAATAAACTAAATATATTCAGCGGTGGTGCGTAACGCGCATCCGAACGTAGCGGTTTGACAGACAATTAAAAATGACAGATGACTTGCCGCCGCCATGTTGAGGCGCGATCAAAAGAGGCCGCGTATTCCCTCGAAATAAAAAATCGGTCAACACATTTTTAGATAGTTAAGCTTGATAGATTTCGTCGACGTCAATCAACGTTATGCAATTAGTGTGGTTAATTTTTACGAGAGCGTTTGCGAATTTCAATTTAACGTCTTTAGAATTAGGTCAATTATAGGCAACATTAATCGACAACATATTAACTATATCCATTATTAAAACATAGCATAAAATATCTATCGAACTACCAGAAAGATAATAGAAATTGTTTGGTTTAAATTATTTTCTTTCTAACACTCGTAAGAAGCTAATGCTTTTACAAAAATTGTACCTACTCTAGGAATTGCTTTGTTTGCTTTTTTGGAACTACTGGTTGGAATTGAATAATTGTGTGTTGGTTAAAGCATTTATCGAGAAAGTTTTTAGGCTATATAACATTACGCTGCGACCACTAGGAGTGAAGATTTTGATGGCCAATATAGCTATTCTACGCGGACGATGTCGCGGACAAAGCTAGTCCATCATAGACATTAGGCCAAAAAGCCGGTCAGAGTACCATATCTGCTAAAAAGTTTTTATTCCATTTGGAATTCCATTCGCAGGTGAAGAAATTTTACATAGAACTAGATCAACATCAACGTTCCTATCGATTTTAGCTAAGAACATCGTCTTATTTGGATAGTTAGGGTACAAAATCTTTATCAATACCTAGATAAAGATTTTGTACCGCCTCGACAAACTAGGCATTTATATTATGTTCCCATAGGATTCGAACCTAGAAACATGTCGAGGGTGGTCACTAATAGGTCTAGGCTTATTTTGGATCAATATGTGATTCAGAATATTTAAAATATGTTGCTATTCGTATCATACTATATGATATTAACTAAGATAACTGCTTTCTTTGGCTTGTAAGCTTGTCTACAAACCGTTTTGGATAATTAAAATTCAGATATTTGTTTTGTAACATCAGACCATTATCTTAAAAGAAAGGGATAAGAAAAAATAAACAAAAACTTGGAAACTATTTTAATATCAACATCGAGCTTATAATATCTTCACTGGCTAATATTTACAGCATTGAGCATTCACTTACAACTTAAATATAGACGCAGCTAATTGTAATACTAAATTTATTTATAATTATATCTTTGAAGCATTTGTATTGTAACTTATTATTATTAAAGTTAAAAAAAACGTTGCAGTCCATAACAGAGACAATCCTTTTTTATACAGGACGACAGATAAGAATTCACTTGCGCTGACGACTTATTTTGGCTAGGGATATTCGGAACATAAAACATGCATGGTTCTTAATTTTTTAATAACAATGGTAACCAAAAGTCAACTTTAATATGTCACTGTAACTTGTAATATATTGTGGACGACACATATAACTTTGTAGCAAACAAAATTAATTAGTTAAAAAAATATATAATACGGATGGGACTCGAACTCGGTACTATGTAGACCTGAGAGGTATAGAAATAACACAGTACGCTGTCGATCGGGTGTTCGTGACTCGTCCATTTTATACTTTTTTGTAATCCAAAATAGTTTTTAAGACAATTAAGGTTTAATACTGTTTATAGTTTACGCGAGTAGTACACATTTAAATAAAACATTTTAACGGTTTAAAACGCGATATATGAGCGAATTCGGCGCGAAACGTCGGGCCGAAGTTAAAAATAATTTTAAAATAAGTTTAACTAATGTATCGCGTTTTAAACCGTTAAAGTGTTTTATTTAAACAATTAAGGTTTTTAATTGAAAATTTCATGACATTTGGTTTACTACAACTATAATCTTAAATTACGCTTACATACAATTCTTCGTTTTAAATCGGAGGGATATACTTTATTATATTCTGTACTTATTTTGTATGTTATACATATACATGGATGTAAATAATCACTATTTAATTGTTTTTAACATAAATATATTGAGAGGAAATGTTTCGTGAAAATTGTAAAGGCGCGGTCTTTTTGCAAGGCCCGGAAAGCCTTTAGAAATGAACAGCGACGTTGCACTATAGTATACAGACTGGATTATTAAGATTATGAGCGTTTCTCGATTAAGCGAAATATGAGTGTCTGCATTAAAAACATAAACGCAAAGACAAAATTAAAACTGTAAAAAGAATTATATGTGCCGTCATTTTCACAAGAGCTATGTACTAATTATAGTAATTTATATACAAATACATAATGTAAAATGTTAGATACAATATTAATCATTGTAATATTTTATAATATAGATCTTATGCTTAAAACTTTTTAATCGTTGAATAGTAGGTATCTCTTGATACGTGATAAGTTACAGACCTTATGTTATATATCACAATCGATTTATAATTCCACTTAAACTCGACTAAATTAAAACTGTTCTTATTGTACACAATTTATATACAAGTCCGAAACCGTGTCTTTATCGTTTCAAGGACGATAAGTGAGAAATTTACACGATATTAACGGGATCTCAGAAAAAATAACACAGAGGTAATCCTTAACCAACATGACATAAGTCATCGGTTTTTGTCACTACTTTTATACTTATGTATGTATTTTCAGAGTGACATATTTGTGAATTTTCCCGTCAAGGAAAATTCGTTTACACTGATGATTTATAGATTTCCTCACAAATGAAGAAGTTTAAATTATTAAGATCCCCATTCACGAAAAAACTCAAAATTATGGACTAGAAGTGACTTCTACAACTTACTTTTTGTCAACACCTCGATGTTTTAACACTTCAATTATTATCTGTGGTAACGTAATATCACAAAACTATCAGTTCGAGAGTCCGCACTCATTATCTTTATCGACCCTAGGGTCTTGGGACCCAGGCCGTTGCCACAATCACGTGTGGGAATGCCCCAGAGAACCGTGCGAGTGGTGATGATTCGCTGCTAAGTGGTGGAAGTATGGTGCGTAAGGTCCCGGACCGGTGAAGGGGTATGGGACCCCATGAGAGTATAGAAGACCTCCAGGATATGGCCCAGAAGGAAAACCACCAGCGTTTGGTGGTGGTACCGTCGGGCTGTTTACGTCCATGCCCGGGTTCTGCTTTTTCCATTTAGTGCGGCGGTTTTGAAACCAAATCTTGACCTGTGTAAAAAAATTGAGCTATAAATAAAAGCAAATAGTGTTCTTTGTACCTATCTTTAATATATACTTAAAAATCATGCATAAGTAAAAAGCATTGTGCCCTATTCATAATAAAACATGATTATTATAGGAATTTATATAAAATACTTTTATACTTTTAAAACGCGAAAAGTATAAATTAAAGCTATTTACAAAAAGACCACGGAAAATAGAATTTACACTAGAAAAATACCACAGAGATATGCATAATGAACTAAGGGAATTTCGTCATGAAATAATTCACGAACTTAAGGAAAGTAGAAATGAATATAGGTTGATGGAACAAAAGTTTTTAAGTGTAGAAGCGGAGTTGAAGGTATTGCGTAACGAAATTAAAGTTATTCAGGATGAAATCAAAAAAGATAATTCTGTGAGAAACAAAGTGGAGCAACGTACAAGCTCGTTGACTGATTATCTGACTATTGAACCGAATACGGCTGAAGTGTTGTCCCCGGGAGAGGTGCTTAAAAAAAACTCACAGAGTACCGTCAGTATAACAGCAAAACCCAAAAAAGGGACAACATCGGTAAACCCCAAATCCAAAGTTGTCACTGTTAGTAAACAAAGGAAGAAGGAAAGGGAAGGGGAAGAGGAAAGGGAAAAAGAAAGGAAGATGGAGAAGGAGAAGGAAAGGAATAAAGAAGGAAAAAAATGGAGCTAATGGAGCGGATAGTATTCAAGCAGTGAAAAACAAGCGAGGCAAGTACAACAGCAGCGTAAAGCAAGGAGATAACACGGGTATTTTAGATATCGAAGGAGCCAAGCGTAAAAAAATTCTTGCATATATGGCGGTTGAAGAAGGAGACTACAGTGGAGAGTTTGGAAAAATATGTGAAGAAGATTTATAAGAAAGAAGTTTCTGTAACGGTGGAAAAATTAAATCATAAAACGGAAAGAGATTATGCATCTTTTGTCATAGGGGTCCTAGAAAGTGATTATGAACAATTAACCAAGCCCGAAAACTGGCCACTTAACGTACAATTTTGTGACTGGCGGTGGTTTCGGAGACCCCTTAAAAGCTCCAAGGATAGCAAGTAGACCAATAGAGATTGTATATCAGAATGTGAGAGGCTTGCGAACAAAACTGCATGATTGCTTTGCAAGTATTTCAACAATGCCCGTCGACCTCTTTGCTATTACGGAAACTGGCTGCAACGGCTCTATCGCAGACGCCGAGTTCGTTCCACCGGGTTACACAGTTTTACGATGTGATCGCTTGGATGGTCGCAAGCAAGGTGGAGTATGTCTAGTAGCCGCACCGCGTCTTAAAATGCATCAGATAAAGTTACCTCGAGAGGTAAACGTTCACTCTCGAGTATTCGAAATTGTTGGTGCAACTATATTTTTGAAAAACAAATTTATGTTTTCAATCTTTGTCATTTATATTCCGCCAAATAGTAGTGATAATGAATATTTAATTTTGTTAAGAATTATAGAAGATTATTGTAGTAAACATAATTGTAACATTGTAGTGGTAGGAGACTTTAATTTATATTCGTGTTCATCTTACATTAGAACTTATTTTAAAAATTATTTTTTAACTTTTTGCGAATTGAGTCAGTGCAACAAAATACAGAACATTAACGGCCGACTGCTAGATCTTGTTCTTGGAAGGGTTAGCATTATGACTACGTTAAGTGTGTACAGGGCGGAAGAACAGATCGTGGATGTGGACAAACAGCACCCGCCACTCCTGGTCACTATTCAATCACTAGCGCGATCTGTGTATTCAAAAGCATGTCACCCAAACCAGGTAAATAGGAACGATGGTCTGAGGTCGTGGAACTTTAAAAAAGCCGACCTATCTGAACTATATGGAAAAATTGCAACGGCAAATTGGTCCAATACATACTCCTCTAACCTAAATCTAAGTATACATAATTTTTATAGCACTTTGTATTCTTTATTCGATGATTGTGTACCACAAAGGATGGGTAGGCAATCTCAATCGAAATATGTTTATCCCAGATGGTATACAAGTGAGTTGATCCAACAAATAAAGAAAAAAGCTAAACTGCACAAGCACTACAAGTCAACGAAGTCAGTAGTGGCATATAGGGAGTTTAGTCAGTGTAGAGCTGAAGTGAAGAACTTAATTGCTTTGTCGAGGGAGCAGTATAGCAATTGTGTGGAGGCTAACATAAAATATGAACCAAGATCTTTATGGAATTATATAAATGACCATAGAGCAAATAGGCAACCACCAGAAATTATTGAAAACGGAGAGGTTTTAAGTGTCGGCCAAAGTGTCGAGGCTTTTGCGAACTTTTTTAGTAGCGTTTATGCAGGCCAAAAGCCAAATCTAAATGTGGAAGCAGCCATAAGGGAGGCGGGGAGTAGCAACACAGTGGCAATGATAAGTGTCGAAAAATTGCAGCTAAAAGATGTGCAGAAAGCAATGCAGGGACTTAAGCCAAAAAAAGCTACTGGTCCAGATGGGGTACCTCCATATGTGCTGAAAGATTGCTGCACGGTACTAGCAGAACCTCTTCGTCATATTTTTAATCTCAGTTTAAAAGAAACCATAGTCCCAGAAGTTTGGAAAAATAGTAAAGTTGTGCCAGTGCCAAAAGGAGGAAATCGTAGTAGGGTGGAAAACTATAGGCCAGTGGCTATTTTGTCATCTCCTGCAAAGGTTATGGAAACGGCTCTCCAAAGGTCCATTTACAGCCAAATCTCGCCTTACCTGGCAGATGCTCAACATGGGTTTCGACCAACTAGAAGCACTACAAGCAACCTCTTAAGCTATATGTCAGATATTATTCCGGTAGTAGATAGTGGTGGGCAAGTGGATGCTGCGTATTTGGATTTTAAAAAGGCATTTGACATGGTAGATAATGATATACTTTTAAAAAAATTTGCTGAAGTAGGTTTTACTACTCACTTACTGAAACTTATGACAAGTCTGTTGACTGATAGGAAACAGTACGTTGAGTATGGCGGATGTAAATCAAAAGAGTATTTTACCAGGAGTGGTGTTACGCAGGGAAGCAATATGGGACCGTTGCAGTTTCTATTGATGGTTAATGATTTATCAGGAGTAATGAAAAATGCGAAATGCCTTATTTTTGCTGATGACGTTAAACTATCGCTGAGCATTGAAAACATGGAGGATTGTACTAGCCTACAGAAGGATATAGATAGAGTGGTGAGCTGGAGCGAAAGAAATAGGCTTCAATTAAACACTTCCAAGTGTGCAATTATTTCCTTCACTCGAGCGCGCTCGCCAATATTGCACTGTTATAATGTAGGTGGGCTACCTCTAAAAAGGGTTACAGAGATCAAGGATCTTGGACTCCACCTAAAATCAGACTTATCATTTCGAGATCATATCAAAAATATTTGCAATAAGGCGTTTAGGACTTTAGGATTTGTATTAAGAATGGCACCTGGATTTAAAAACATAAAGGTGATTATGTCGCTATACAATGCTCTGGTTCGGAGTCACCTGGAATGCTGTGCAGCTATCTGGAGCCCACACGAAGCAAAGTATAGCTTAATGTTAGAGCGAGTGCAAAATAAATTTACTCGATACATATACATGAGACGGTACGGAGTATACCCTTTTTATCCCCTTATGTACCCGAGCTTATTTGTACTAGGGATGCTAGGTTATTCTCAGTTAAGGGTTAGACGCGAGTTGGCGCTTGCCACATATTTATTTAAGGTGCTTCGGGGCAAGCTACAGCACCCTGAAATACTACAAAGGCTGTGTCTCAGCGTCCCGGGGGGTAATATGCGACGAAGGAAAGCATTACTGCTAGCACTCCCGCACGCGCACACGAATCTGTTAAAGTATGCACCAGTGATAAGAGCTATTACTATATTGAACGAGGTCGCAATAAAAACGGATTTATTTTGTTGCACGTTGGCTGAATTCACAAGGTTAGCATCATGGATAATCTCATTTGAAAGTCGATAGGTAAATACTGTGATTGTAATCTACAGAGTTACTTTTAAATGTCTCATCTTAGTCTTAGTCATTTTCATTGTATTAGTATGTTATAAGCTGTAAAGATGGAAATGTAAATTAAAATTAAATAAATAAATAAATTTTAACTACGTTAAGTCTCCCAGTGACCACGACTGCTGCAAAGTTTCGAAAACGTCGGGCCGTAGTTAAAATAATTTATAAATAAGTTAAGCGTAAAAACTTTGTATATCTTTCTAACCGACTTAACGTAAAACCACTGGTTACTAAATTTTTACCACAGCCCGAGAAAAATAAACAATTCTCTAAATTTTAAAACTAATTAGTCTTCTAACCTGTGTTTCTGTCAAACTGAGGCTAAGAGCTAGATTGAGCCTCTCGCAAACGGACAAATATCTCGTCGTCTTGAACTTGTTCTCCAAAGATACCAACTGTTCATACGTAAACGCTGTCCTGGCCCTCCTCGGCTTCGTTCCACCCTTGGAGTCCCTCGAACTCTTCCCCTTTTTGGAACTGCTGGGACTCTTGGGATCTCCGTTCTCATCGAGATCCGATTGTGTGAGAATATCGTCATCCATGGTCGATGTTTGGTCATCAGTTTCCACGTCATCCGCTTCGATGTCAGACTGCATATGATCTTTGACTGTAACAAAAACATTTTTGAGTTATCGTATTCGGGGATTATTAAAATTTAAATGATACTTTTGAATGTTACAAGAAAATACATGGAGAATGTGTTACATCCTATTTACCCCGGTAGGGAATGGGGCGAACACATTTCTGTGCTCGTTTTAATAATTCGTCCTTTTATAGACAGGTGATCAAACTTCTGTGCCCTGCCCAACCGAAACAATCTTTTGTTTTCCCGGGATTCGAACCCAGGATCTCTCGCGCTTAATGCAATGATAGGATACTCGTTTAACCATCTAGCTACATGGCGAATTCTTTTAATAGTGAACGTAGAGAGTTAAGACTAGATAGACAAACAGACTAGATAGATAGATAGGCTAGTTAGTTATATATATCGATTATAGTTAGATAGATATTTTAATAACAATTATTATTATTTTTTAATTTAATCCCTGGCGTATTGTAATCACGGCGATAAATAATATGGTTGTAAAAATATAAGCTACCTAACAAATTTGTAAATTTCGTCTTTTTATTAACTGTACTGAATTAGATGGTAAAGATATGTTGAAAGATAAAATGTCCTCACGCTATTTATAGCAGGACTAGCCGTCGAGAATTTTAAACAACTTTGTTTTATTGTAGTTAATTAGCTAAGCTCGTGTGGAATGTAGTGTTGTCTCAATACGATTAGTTGGAGACTGATTGGTTCACAAGTAAATGTTAAATGAAATGTTTCCAGAGCACATTCTATATTATAAGCCCATGATTTTCAAAGAATTTTTTACACATATCGAGTAGGAATAGGTATGTCGATGATAATTTGTGAGTTACACTTACACAGTCTTTTTGAAAACATTTTATTCAATTACTTCGAAGTTTATTAATTTATTCAACTACTAGCTGTATCAGCGACTTCGTCTGCGTATTTTGGGCATCATAATTTGTTTTTACAAACCTCATCTTTATAAATTATAGCTCTTACCGTCGGTCGGTCGGCGGGTCCCGTCGTTCTTGCAAGTTCATCTTAAAAAATAGACATAATATACTGTCCCGAAAACTTTTTAGATTGTTTAAGATCAAACATTATTTTATACATATTTTTTAGGTATCTTGAACCGTTTTCGCGGAAATGGAAACCTATTATAGCCTTCGTCGATAAATGCTCTAACCATCATAACAATATTTTTTTTTAATTAGAACCAGTAGTTCCCGAGATTAGCGCGTTCAAACAAACTCTTCAGCTTTATATATTAGTATAGATTTATTGCAACACACACAAAGTATATACATTGTAGCATTTGAAAATAGTCTTAAAAATACAACTCTATATTAGGAAAAAAATATTATCACTTATAAGTTTAGTTTAGTTCAGTCGGAAATTAAAATTCAATTCACATAAAACATAAATATGACACAATAAAATAACGAAAATAATATATTTTTTTCAAGGTAATGATAGCTTTTATTGTATTTATAACAATTAAACCTAGTTCTTAACGGTTCTTTACAATGTTTATATAATATAAATTATATAATGATTTTCGTTATTCTCATTTTATATATCTAGCTTCTTTCTTCCTCACATATTATTCTGAAAAAGGGGGGTAGTTTAGTTTTTTCGATACAACGACCGACCGACATCACCGCTCGTAGTCAGACGCTTTTGTGTGCCGCCCATGCGAGCTGGTTGTGCGCAGATCGCTAATTAAGAATAAGTGTTTAAACACTCGCGTGTTGGAGAGACTATTCGTTATAGGTACCTAATGCTCTCCGCAAGTCCAGTGCGTTGCAGTATACCGACTACGTGATGAGGTAAGTTTTTAAATTTTATTCCCTCTAATGTGTATAAGTCAAGTTTACTGGTACCTATTATTATAAATAGTATATTGGAATTGAAAGTGTATTAACTGCCGTTTTGTGTCTTTGATACACATATAAAAAACAAAAGAAATGATTTTTGTATACGTTTTCAAATACTTATTTATCAAATTGTAGAAGTTCGCAACAGGCTATATTTTTCTTTAGTCTTAGCTATAAGTGAACAATAACAATACTTTTCAGTTTTACTTCTCTATAATATGGATTCTCTGAATTGGATTTAATAATAATAATAATAATTATTATTTATTTGTCAGACCATAGATCCATTATTTTAAAATAATACATAATTAATTAATTCTAATGTGCGTTAGTTGGGTTAGTAACAATTTTTAACTTAAAATGTATATTAGAATGTGTTAGTCACTAAAATTTAGTTTAGTTAAATTTAAATTAGACAGAATACATAGAATAGGTGCTAGGCGCTAAGGGGGAGCATGGATTTAAGAGCCACCGCTCCAGTAAGATTTAGTGGTACAAAAAATAGTGATGATGACTTTTGGAGGTACATCAATGATAACACATCGTACATTTTTAAAACAGTCTATTTCCTATCGTAAGCTATTTTTTTAGAAATCCAATTTTAAAGGAGGTGAAAACGCACGTATTCAAATGTCATTCTATTGATCACCTGTAAAACATCGCTGAAACATGAAGCCAATAAATATTTCGTATCCCACTCAAATGGTGAAGTATCGAATAGTTAAATAAAGCTTATTAGCGGCTAATGACGCGGCTACACATTTAATTTAGCTACGAATATATCAGTCAACGCGGCACATTCTGCTACTGTCGATTGGAGGTATAAATAAACATTAGGATACACTACTGAAAAAACATTATAAGGAACACATCTCTTTATATTAGTCACAACTTTAAATATTATCGTTATTTCTAATTTAGTTTTCACCTTGACTCAGTAGTTAAACATTATGTTACAAGACTGAGGCGTTTCGGTTCAATCCAATTCCATCGAATCATACCTACCGAGTTTCGTTTAGACAGGCTGTATAAATCTTAATAAGTACTTGTTTGTACTAACAATCTCTTAGCAAAACTGACACTGAACTATGTCAAGAATACTCATGTACATTACATGAAAATAATTTCAAAATTTACACAAACTAAGTGGTATAAACCATGTTAAGTAAATTAGGATAAACAACAAAGAATTGTAAGTAGGTATGTTTAAAAATTAATACATTTATTATAACCTAAATTAATTGGTTTTTTAAGGTTTAACGTACTATTCATATCCTCTATTTATAATAATCAAGTTCAAACTAATATCGTCGAATTGACAAGACAAAGAAGCGAAAACGAATTCCCGAGTTAGTCGTCCCGTCTCAGCGAAATGAAGAACACATGAGACAATTATAACCCAAAATAACGAGCAGTGTTACCATACTGTCCGTGTTAGACACATTCGCCCGTCTCATATCGACTTGACACTTATTAATGCTGATTTTATCGCCATTCTGCTCCGAAAGCGATCACAGTGCCACACTTAAACACTGAGACAATTTCCCTAATATTTATACATCCTGTCGGCCATTATAACGTATTTTACTAATTTCACTAACCGCAGAATGGCCGTAAATTATAGTTTAATGTTTCCGGACGAATTGTTGCCAATGTTACAACATTAAAAATTAATAGCGGTTTTAAAACTATTTCGCAGTGACAACACTGCTGTCGAAAGAGGAGGAAGCGGAAATGGGCGCTATATCACGTGGAAAACATGGAAAAATGTTGCACGATATATAAAACAAATTTTATTGCTTCTAATTCATTTAGTGAATTGGCTTGTGTAAGAAGATGAAGGTTTTATGATTCTATCAACTAATTAATGTTAACAGCTTTTGATTATGAGTGCTTGCCCATAATCAGCTGTCGTGTAAAATTTGCTTGCGTGCTAAAATTTCAAAATTACAATATGATACCAACTTTAAATTAATTTAAGGAATTTTTAACTTAAATCCTTAGAAGTGACATTATAGGTACCTACGCTAAATACAGTGTTGACTAGCAACGTATAATAACTATTTGGTACCTAAATAACACGTCGTAGTTAACGTAGTCAGTTGACAAAAAGCAACTACATATGATTGCCGACCATGCAGTTTTTAGTAATCTATACTAATATATAAATCTGAAGAGTTTGTTTGTTTGTTCTGACGCGCTAATCTCGGGAACTACTGGTTTGAATTCATAAATTCTTTTTGTGTTATTTAGAGAATTTATTAAGGAAGGCTATAAAACATAGCGCCGTGAGTAATAATACCGAAACAACGGGAAAAGCGGGAAAAGTCGAAAAAACTGAGAAAATTATAGGTTTCTCATCCTTATAGGTTTTTATTGCGTACGCTGCGAAAACAGTTTAAGATACCCGAAAAAAATGTAGGAAAGAATGATTCCTCTTTAAGAGATCTAAAAAAAATCAGAGGTCTGCATCAGTAAATGTCTGTCTTTTAGCATTAACTTGCAAGAACGACAGGACGCGGACGACGTCGTGGGTTTGCAAAAACAAAAATTAGTATCCAAAATAATTATTTCACGCGTACAAAGTCGCGTGACTCAGCTAGTAATATATAAACGTTTATGGCTACTCAAATAAAAATGATTATTGAATAAAGATTGAGTTAAGACCAAGCTCACGTTAGGTCTCAACTAGAGTTTAGTTAAAATAGATTTAATGTGAAAAATCAGCAATAATAAAAAGTTGATTTACACAACCGTAGCGTGTAAAATATTAAATTAATCATTTATTTCAACACTTTATCTTTCGTCACATTATGGACTTTCATATTTTCCCGTTTTTCACACAGCTTGGCTTTGACCCAAGTATTATTATAAGGAATTAAAATTATTTGCCACTGTATGTGTTAGCAAAAACATAAATGTGTATATAATATATGGTAGTTAATTTTTAATCTAATTTAATAAAAAACATGAAAGATATAAATTTCCTGATTATTTTATGACAGATAAACAAAAAATAACACAGCTACATAACACCTAAACAATAACCGTTGTCGACCTATTTTAACTTGGGACATTTGGGACTGAATTTGATAATCTCATTTAATGGAGATAAGAAAATTTAAATTAATATTTAGAA